TGCTCCATTTATAACTAAAAGGGAGGGGTGGGGATTTGAAATCCATCCCCAAATCCCTCAATCCAAACAAGTACTAGGGATTTTTTTACTATGAATTCGAAATCCCTCCTCCAAATTCCTCCATATTCAAATAGACTTTTTGAGATTTCTATTATTTTTGACTTTATTTTCACATAAATAAAGTACTCACTCTTACTAACTAAATTTCTTGAATTTCGTTTTGTTTCCTTAACTTTGGTTTAGCCTGGTTTGGACTAAATATTATATAAATTTGCTAACCAAGTGAATATGATTGGGAAATTATTGAAATGCCTCTCTAACTATCAATACTCCCTTCGTTCATTCATAAGTGTCACTTTTCACCTTTGCTCAAATATTAAGAATCTCAATAAACGTGGCTTGATTTTAGGAAAAAAAACATAATAAAGACTAGATTTATCATTAATTATGTGATAAGAGAGAGAGTTAATACTTAATCGAGTGGAATTAATGAGGGTACAACAGGAAAAATGCATTTAATGCAGTATTGAAACTCTAAAGTGGTAGATAATCTAGAGCAAAAATATTTCACTAAAGCGATAGTTGTTGTGGAATAGGAGTAGTTATTAGTGAACGGCAAATCTGATGTATGAAGCGTGTTATTGTCTCGTTTATCTGTGATGGCCTACTTGAAAATCTAATAAGTGTAACAGAGTTGAAGTAATCATAGAGAGTATAATGACAATCTGGTTAGACAGATTTTACCATTACAAATAATTCTTTCCCATTGATTTTATTTAGAACTCAAATGGAAAGCAAAAAGTTACTTTCCATTCACATTTAAATTTACTCATCACAATTGCATCGATGTTTCAGTTCACATGAAAACTCATAGTCTCAACCTTGGCTAAAACAACTTCACATGATAATTGCATAAAAACATGCTCACAATCCGATAAACGAAATACAAACAAAAAAGGAAAAAAAGAAAGAAAAAAAGAGAGAGAAACAAATATCGAAGTAATCCCAAAAGGAACCATCGAAATCCCTCCTTATTTATTGCCTCTGACCAATATTCTTTTTTTTCAACCTTTTTATTTATTATTACAGCTCAGCTCACACACAAACCTACCTAATTACATTCACAGTGCCATACTATGTGTTAGAAGGCTCCAAATTTACAGTACAGCGCACGCACATATATATTTGTTCACACCAAAAAGCACAGTGACAACTTTACTCTCCGATAATTATCCCATTGTTCACACACACACACACACAACACACACTAAAACAAGAAAACTTATTTCAAAAAAAAAAAACTTTGGAGAAATGGAGAGGGATCAAATCATGCAGAGCCTCTTCGGTTACCAATCTGAGGAGGAGGATACCAGCGCAGAGGACTTAATTATCTCTGTATGAATTTGATTGTTTTTCTTTTAGCCATTAATTTTCTGCTGATGGTTTTGCCTAGTGAAAATTTATCCATGAAAAATGCTTTGCTTCTTTCATCATTCTAAAATGTCTCGTTTTAGTCAAATGTCTGTATGTGCATGTGCATAATTAAAAAAAAAAATTATATAATAAGTCTGAAGATTTTTATGCTTTTCCAGTACATTTTCTATCGATTATGTGAGGGTTTGAAATTGAGTTTTTCAAGATCAATTCAGTCATAATTATTTTTATGCATCTTCTTTCATCTCCATTTCTTGTTTTCAAATTTGTAGATAATAAAGTTTATTTTAGTTGGCGTGAATAAACGTAATGAGTGCCTAGAATTAGTCTTTTTGTCACCCACCCCTTATTTTCAGGGAATCTCATGCATCCATGCTGACATCTGTACAATTATTTTATTTTGTGGGTGAAAGTTTTGTCTGTATGCGTAGTCATTTTCCTGCATGTATGTGAAAATTCAAGGAGTTATTATACTGTTGAATTTCCCAAGGATTGGAACTGATTTTGATGCAAGGATTGGTTGAATTTTCTCGCTTGCTCGTGCAATGAACTGTTTGATCTTAATTTTCTGTAAAAATAATCGATATATTTTGCTTTTATCTTATAAAGCCGATGACACCAAGTGATTGTTTTTCAGTTGTTTCTTTTCACACAATTCCAAAGAATGCCTTCTTAATTTTTAAAAAAGTTTAAAGAGGGAAGTGCCACTCATGATCGATCACATGGTTACTTGCACTGTTTATTTTTTCACAAATAACATGTTTGTGGGCAAGCCAAAAACGAGGGTTTGAATCTTTTTAGATATGGCATGAATTGATTCATGCCAAGGACTGAAGAGAAAAATAAATAAACTAACAACTATCGTTTTTTATGTCATGAATAATGAGATATGCAGAAATTAAATGATTCTAACTAGGACAATCGCGGAGTTTACTTCATAGAGGAATGCGTGTATTTTATTTGTTTATCTACACTAGAATCATTTTATTTTCCGCATGTGGTTCCTTCATTACTTGTTGATTAGACAACCCGTTTAATTCTGAGCGTCTTTACAACTTTCTAGGTCATGGGTTTCTAGATGAAAGCAGTTTGTGGAAGTGATTTGTCGTATGATAGTTCTTGTCAATTTTTATTTTTATTTGATTGTATTTATTTTTCTCATCAAATTGTTGAAGTAAATAATCTGCTTAGCAAATTATATGAATTCGAATCAATGAAAGTTGAAGTTAAAACTCATTTGGGAAAATTATATTGCTTCGTAGCATATACGATCTCTTTCAACTTTTACATTACAGGATGGCTTAGGAAGTAATGAAAAAATTAACCCCGTGATTGCAAGTTATTAAGTATTAGGGTTGCTACTTCTTTAATCACTAGGCTTATGTAAAATACCAAGATTTTATTTGAGCCAATTTTTTTCCCTCTTGTTTTTCTGCGTTTTATTTTATTGAATTAAGATAGTTACTGAAGGATCCTTTGTTTGGATTTTCCAATAATTGATTTATCTTAAAATTTGGTGTAAAAAGTTGCCGTTCAAATATTAAGCAGATTGTATATCAAAACTAAATTTGCAAGATACAAACTAGGAAGACTTTAGGGGCTCGTTAAAATAATTAGGTAGATTAGTTTATAGATGTACTATAATTTTATGAATGCTGTAGAAACATGCTGCATGCACGTATTAGAGATAATGCATTGTACTTTGGTTTTGACTGAATGAAAGTACTTTACTAGTTTAATTCTTGTCTTACTCAAACACATTTATGAATTTCTTTAGTAAGTTCGGGGGGCCTTGGATTAAAACTTCTTGATTGGTTCCAATTCTTTATATGCAATTAATTACTTGATCTGTTTTTGTTGTTTGTTCTTGATGTGAAATCACGGTGTATTTCGTTGTTTTTTAGCCTGTTTGCATTTTGGGGCCACTCATCAATCCTAACCCTAGTTTATGAATTGAAATTTCTGGAGATGATTGAGTATTTCACTTCTAGTAAATTGACTATTATTTTGTAGCCATAAGTAGTATTGCTTTCCTACTTCAGAAACTAGCTTACACGATGACGGTAAGTTAGTTTATAGGCAAATTATTAATGAACTAGATTGAACTGTTGCTTCGAAGAATATTATCCAACGTAATCAACCAAAGTTTGCATTGTCAATAATTTTCTTCTTGTTTTTAATTTCTATTAATTTCCAACGACATACTTCTTTCCCTTACCCGTGCATTTTCTTTGCTGGTTTGACTCGATTCAAAGGATGGGGGCCGAGAGCCTGACAATAAAGGGAAAGGCAAAAGTGAAGGAGAGACAAAAGTCAACAAAACAGTTGACCGAAAGGGTCCTCATCTCGGAAGCTCAAGGTCTTGTGCTGAGTCCCTTTCTTCTCTCCGTTTCTTGCCATTAATATTTCAAACTCTATAGTTCCATCATTATTTTATTATACTGCAAATTATAATATGTTTCTGCTTTCCTTCTATTTCTTTTTGACTTTTCCTGCTTATGCTCTTAATGTAATACAGCAAATTATAATCATGTAATTATTCTTGATGATGTTGTTAAATCGGAGTTTTTTTAACGTATTCTTGTAAATATTTAATCTCTGCTGATTATTAATTTGAGATGTGCTAATATCTGGATCATTTTGAGTCGCATTGTAGATCACTTGCAAATGAGAAGCGCAAAACTGCAGCTGAAGTGATCCGTGATGTTTTTGGAGACTCCGATGATGAACCAGCTGAATATGCAAATTACAGTCCGACTAATGAGAAAAATGTTCGCGTAAGATGTTAAAATACACTAATTGTATCTCTATATTGATGCCTTTATGTAATATATAATTCGAAAGTATATTCATAAATCACCCTACTATAGAGTTCTCCGGAGTACAAAGGAAATATCGTACCGAATGAAGATGCAACAGATAAGTGTGATGAAGAAGGAACCGAAGCTAAACTAAAGAGAAACAAAGGGGTGATTGAAATTCCCTCGCGCCCTCCCCTAGGTCGTCAAGATCAGGTTAAAATTTATTACCTTAGTTGATGTTTATTTGGGTAAGATATTTTTTTTTTAAGGTAATGTTTATGAAGTAAATAGATTACCGATTCAATGCTAATTGGATAAGATGTGCTCATTATATCTTATTTCCACTCATTTATTCTTGCTTGCTTGTCAAACTATCTCCAGTTAGGAAATTCTTCACTGTTTTAATTGGTCAATAAAATTCTTTCCTAATTTTCCTACGTTAGTTTAACATACGTTAAGACACTTATCGGTCAGCCGGTTTTGATGTTTACGCATCTTTGCTAAAACTAGTTATATGGTTTATGCCTTCTGATTTATAAAAATGCAATGTAATGGAAGCTCCATGCTGTTGAATGCTGACGACATAAGTTTGAGAAAGTACAATTGTTGAGATATCTATACATGTGTACACACACACACGCACATAACTCCCACACACAAGGATATATCTGAAAATATTTTGCACACAAGAAAATCATCAATTTGTGGGGATGAGAAAATTCTTCTTGCTTCTTGTAATAACCGATAAATTGACAACTTAAAAATTCCAGGTTGTAATGTTTTATACATTGATGTTTTGCAGAAGGTAACTATCAAACTGTCCAACATAATTGGCATAGCGAAGGAGCCATTTGACCCTGAAACTTACGTGGAAGAGGACTTTTACAAGACTGATGCGACTGGGTTCAAAAGGTGCATGCCACCTGGCAACATGATTCGCTGGAGAAAAGTTAACAATCCAGATGGAACATCTTCGGTCAGTTATTTCATGGAACTGCTACTACTGCTACACCAGTTTAAACATAAGCATATTCCCATTCGTTAAAAGCCCAAAAACTTTTCAACTCTCACTCAAACCACGTAACAAAAGTGTATTTTATGCATCAAGAATGTTTATAATTGTTTGTTCATGCATACTACAAATAGGGTTTGTTTACAAGTCCTAGACCATCATAAACCATTACATTGAACAATGTTTTGATCAAGCTTTGTACGAAAAAATCTCAAAATAAATGTATTTTGACAGGTTGAAAGCAATGCAAGATTTGTAGAGTGGAAAGACGGGAGTACTCAGCTGCTAATTGGAAACGAGGCTTTTGACGTATCTGAGCAAGAAGTTAAAGACATTCAGTCGCATATTTTTATGAAGCATAAAAAGGTAACTTTTTTATTAACTATTACATTTCACTTCAGTACTTTCCACCTTAACAAATAATCTTTCTTAACTGTGTAAGGGTATCTACGAAGCACAAGGAAAAGTCTCGAAGAATATGAAGTTCATGCCGTCATCTTTATCTTCAAATTCCCATCGTTGCTTAACTGCTCTTGTCGATTCAATGCATAAAAAGGTCAACAAAGTCAAAGAGTACATCACTGATGTCGACCCTGAGAGGATGATTGATCAAAACGAAAAGGTAAACGACTCTAATTAGTTAGAATGCTTGTTTAATGGTCCGATAGGCAGTCTTAATTACGTTATTGGGCACTGAGTTTAGCTTTTTCTTTGGGCCTTATAGTTAGAGAGGCAAAGAATCAAAGCTACTAAACAGCTTAATAACAAGAAGAAGAAAGTCGCTGACAAGTACAGTCCTAAAGGCTACAAGGAGACTCAACTTACGTCTGGTTTCCTAGACGAGGTAAGAATTCTTTTGGAAACTAAAATGTCTCGATATCATTTTGTATGTGTAATTAATTAAAGTTTAGGGTAATTACCGCGAGTCTTCCTTCTCGCCCTGTCAAAATCTCAATGAACAAACATATTAATAAAAAAGTTGTTGAAAGAAAAAGTGTACAATTTCTTTAACTGAAATGTTAATTACTTCGAATGTGATTTTGACCGTTTTCTAGTCTGATTTTCGCAAAATGAAAATACAGAAACTCTAATCTTGTGAGATTAGCTTTCCAATTCAAACTTGAATCAGCTAGACTGGATGTCGGGTGACAAAATTATGCATGAATGAGTTACATTTTGAATTTTAGATAACTCAAAACATCAAAGTTGTGGACAGTCTTCATTGATTCATGCATATCTTTCTCATCCGAAATCCAATCTTGGCGATTCAAGTTCGAATAGAAAACTAACTCAAAGAACTAAAAATTTCGTGGTTAAAAAATATTGCCAAATTCAGCCTCGAAAACGGTCAAGATCACGTTTGAAGTCGCAATGTTATTATTAAAACTGAAACGACATTTATCACACCCCTTTCTTTTATTCCCATAGCATGTACAATTAATCATCTTTATTTTTCACAAGGATGATGAGCAGGGTGATGATCTGGATCTGGAAATGGAAGCTGCAGTGGAGAAGCGCATTATGAATGCAAAGAAGGTATGTTGTTTTATTGTTTGACACAACCGCTTTCTATGTAAAAGTTAACCCGTTCTCTTGAATTGAATTTAATCTAATCGTCCATGATTTACAGGTGCCAAAATATACTCGCAAATCATCACCATCCAATGTTAAGCTGGAAGGAAATGAAGTAGAGGAAATGCAAGAGGGAGAAGAGGAAGAATTCTACGAGGATTCAGAAGTTGAAGCTGAGGTTAGTGACAATTTCTAGTTATAATTTATCTCCGACCGACTCCTGCGAATTGTTTTCTTGTCCTTTGTAAGCATGTGTTTGTCAGTGATGAACATCTGAGAATTGTTGTCTTTGTCGTATTTATCTGTAAAACCCTTCAATTTCTGCTACATGATGCTAAAATCTTTGGATATCGAGACTTTTTCATTTTCTATTAGAATTTTCTTTAGAAGTTGATAGATCTGATGGTTTCCTATAAACTAGGGGTGAGAATTGGACCGGATCCAAAATGAACCAAAATAAGTGGATCTAAAGTGGACCGGATCCGAATTGGATTCAATCTATATGGACTAATATGTGGATCCTTCATGGATCCGATAATGATCCGATCATAGATCCACTATGATCTAATGTAGATTTTTTAAAGGTGCATTATAAATTAATGCACAAATACAAAAACTCACACATCATATAAATGCACACAAATGCACAAAATAAATAATACACACAAAAGCACATAATTAGTAAAAAATGCACAAAACACACACACACACACACACACACACACTTTTTACACACATTCGCATATACACTTCACACACTCCCTTAGACACATACTTACATACACTTTTTACGCACATACACACATGCACGCACACATACATGAGCATTTTATCAAATTTCACTGTCTTATTTGGGATGGCAAACACAAGATTCAAGCACAACTTCGGAAATCAAACTTTTGCTTATTATGCAATCTTGCATCAATGCTCCATTTTCTTAATCTATCTATCACAACGATATACTATTGGCCCTTCCTTTCCGTGATCTAGTTCTCCCGAATTTCTTGTGGGTAAATAGCACTGAACCCTGTATAGTTACAAGCTTTTGTATATGACTCCTTGTGCTGGTAATATAAGCTTATTAGTCATAACCCCTTATGGTTTATAAAGAGTAGTGCCCGTGGGGTTCACCTGTCAAGCTTAACCCTGCGTGACCTTTAGTTTATTATTGTAGACATCATATTTTCAACACCACTTTGGATCATTTTAAATTCACGGTGATCATAGTAGATCCATAAGTCAATCCATGATAGATCCAAACTTTAATGAATTTCAACTAAATCCGATCCGGTTGAATTTTGATGGATCAAACATGGATCGGATCCATGTGGATTGGATTGGATCCAAACTTGATTCGTAGATCCGGATCCTCTTTGTCACCCCTACTATAACCAATCATTAATGGTTTGCATCTAGCTCATTTAAAGTTTGATGTTCAAAGGATTCATCATATAAGAGGCTTAGGAAGGCATAAATCATGGTTAAAATGATCATAATTGCTATATCGACAACTTCAAAAGATGAGATTCCATGTCCTCGGACCGGATATCAGGACAATCACGATTTTTCAAACAACATCCCAAAAGTTGAATGCATGAAGTTTGAATAATGTTATTACTTCCATATTCGGCAAGTTTTGACACACAATTAAACCTCTACAAACTACTAGATTTGGAATAGAGTTGGAACGGACAAAAACTCATTAATTTAAGGGAATCTTAAATGATCGATAAATATATTATTATTAACTTATGCCATCTAGATGAAAAGTTAGATGATGAAGGCACTCAAGAACCGTATAATCTAATAACAAATTTCCGTAGTTAATGGATGTTGAATATCTTTTCACTGTTATGAAAGAGATAAACCAACCGTGGAAATGTTGATTGATGAGTAGATAATCAAGTTGCAAAAAGTAAGCGTCGAACTTTGTGATAGTAAATGGAAGTATAACATAAACTTTGTACAAGATTCACATGTTAAAACATTTTCACCAACTAATACTTGAAAATAAATTTAATAAATACCTTAGACTACATTAATTTGCATGTCTTAAAAATTTATCATTTACTATCCTCAACCTCGTTAGATCCTACTAGAACCCATTCAAAGCAAAATACCTCAATTTTTTTGGTAAAATCCTTAAGATCGGTGAAAGGCAATGTCCGGCTACATTTAGGGATTTCATATTGTTTTTTGAGAATGTTTTAAGGGGAAAAGCTTTTAACCGTAGCAGTTAAATTATGTTAGAAAATAGTCGGATGAAAAATGTATTTTGAGAGCATAATTGAAATGAACGAGGATAGATTTTTTAATGAGCATTCAAGTATAATTGAAGATTTTTGTTTAGGTTTTTATTGTAAAATTAAGAGAAGTTTTGGAATGGCGCAAATGAGAAGAGTCTCTTGTAATTACAACTTAACAACTTGCTTCTTCGTTACGTAATAAGTCATGCCTAAAAATAACAAATGAAAAAATGCTAGTCCATGTTGAACGGACGTGGCAACTTCGTGATGTTTTCATGTGTCGTAAACATTTCAGACACGGAATTCATGGTCAAATTAAGCTTTTGGAGTGCTAAAAAGGAGAGATGACTTGGCTAAATTATTTGGTGGAATGGTGCTCCCGTAAATAATCATGAACATGAATTGTAATTTGTTACTTGTGTCGATATAATTAGGGAATTTGATGGTGTTGAAACTTTGGTTGTAGGTCTTCATATTGAAATAAGGTATCTTTATGAGTGAACATGATAGGTCTATTTCTTGGTAGATATATTCAGTGGGGAGTCCAGGAATTTGTTACAAGGTGGACTTAACTGTTCGGGGATAGTGCCCCTTAGAAAAGATTTAGGACCTTTGTTTTGCATAAATAAGGACAAAATCAGAAAATTGGAAAGACAAAAAGGAAAAGAAAAAATATTAGGATTTTGTTTTGCAGTAATTTGAAATTTGGGTAGGCTCAATATTAAAATTGGGTGGACTAAATAAATATATATGTATAATATAATGGAAACATTTGTATTTGGAGGGTTGGGGGGCGGGATTGAGTCCATCCTAGACTCGCCATTGGATATAACTCATGTTACCATCGGCATACCTTTTACATAGATATCTTTTCTTTCAATATCAATTTTCTTTTAACATAAGCTCTAATTTTATTTCTATATTAGCAATCATTTTTCCTTTCTTTTGTCGTAGTCTGATAAGATATGTGGGAAGACACGTGTATCCCTTGCGTTCTTGGTCATTTATTCTTGTTAGGTTTTAATTTTTGTCCGCCTATTATTTAATGTCAGGAGACGTGGCGAAACAACGTAACCTCTCACTTAAGTTAGCTGTGGGAGGGACTGAATATGAGCTTTTTTGATAATTTTAATTTAATCAAAATGTTTACGGAAAAATGACTTGAAAAAGGTAAAATCGAATTGTTACTGCAAATTAGTGCTATGCTGAAGGACTAGGATTTATATAGTATGAGACAACTAGCCCCCAAAATTTCGTCCTTGACGAGTCCTGCTCTTGGTTATATAGGTCGTAAAAACTAAAATTAAGTAAAATAATTCCCTATACGTCAGACTATTCGTAACTGTGACTTTTTGGTGACCCCTAACTGTGGGGGCATGGTTTAAAGTTGTGGCGACTGGTAATGGAATCTGCATGTATTGTCACTAAGAGTTGAACAGCATTTATATCATAGTCGTCATTATATATCATACGAGATCCAATAAATCTGATCGTAAAGAAATTTCCAAAAAACGAGGAGTGTAAGCTGTATTATTGGTTTTAGTATAGGAGATAGTTTAATACTAGTAGAAATTATCCCCGATAGTTATCCAAGATACCATAGTGTAGGTCGCGGTCGCGATTCTGTATGATATGTGACATGATTTAAATGAATGTAAAAAGGATCAAAGAATAATAGGTATCATATGATTTCTTAAGATACAAAATTCATTATGATATATATATATATATATATATATTCAGTGATATTAATATCAGCGGTACTTTGAACCACAATAGGAAGGTAGAAGTATATCCTTTAATGTGATATTGGCTCGAGTTATTTTAGCTCGTCTTATCAGTTACATCTTTTTATCTTTTGCTTAGTGTACCATGTTTCCGATTTTAGTTTGTCAACTCTGTTTGGAGCAGACACTTGTTTGATTTGAAAGGCTCGATCTTTTTACTACTTGTGGTGGTATCTAAATTACCCGATTTGCATGAAAAAAGAAAAAAACGCATTCTTCTATTGGTCAGTCATGTTTATGATTTGATTTGGTATATGCGACGATTCTTTAAATTCACTGATTTGGTTTCAATATGTGATTTTCGTTTCAGATGGGCAGTTCAAAACCAAAAGGCAAGAAGTCAGGACGAAGACTCATCAAGAAGTACATCGATTCCGATGAGGATGCACCACAGAGGATAAGTGCCACCACCAGACGCAAGAATGCCATCATTTATGACAGTGACGACGAATAAGACGGTTAGTGTTTTACGTATTTGAAGCATTCAATGTATCGTGGTTTTATGTTCACGTAATTTATGATTTGAAATTTTGAAATATTTTAGCCAATTTTTCGAACTCAGTCGTGTCTGGATTCTGCAGGACTGCAGAGTCGCATGTTTTACGGAAAAGGAAGCTCTTCAAATTACTTAAGCCTGTCATAAATCATAGAGACAGTGAGTGATTCTTTTCTGGTTATTGGTACGAACAAAAGTGATAACTGACTGAACTTAACTGACTTAACCGACTTAACTGTGGTTTTTGGAACCTTAACTGACTGAACTGAAACCCTAAATTTGTTCTGTTTCATCTGCATAATTTGTTCTGTTTCATCTGCATTGCCTTCTAATTTCGTGATGAAAAGAAATATGTGTGAAAATATAAAAGAAGGTAAAGAAAAGGATAACAAAGGTTTTAAGCATCAATTTTGTTTATCCTTACCCTTTAATCTTGTCGAGAGTGGCACGACGAAACCACTTTCATCACTGCCCTATCGTGTCGTGGACGTTTCTAATCGTCCTTTTCGTGTATGAGGTAAAGTTGTTTTTGTGCGGTTGCCCGCAAACTACATGGAAGGTATAAACCGCATTAGGCAAGTCATCTAAAATCTTCTTGATAAAATGTTATTTGGTGAAAAAAAAAATGACAGTAAAATTTCAATGAGACAACATATAAGTTAAAGGGTAAATTACAACCATACCCCTTAGGTATGCTTAAATAACTTTAAGGTCCATTTGGTATCGATAATTACATTCACCCCCTGAAACGTAGTTAGAAACTCTAATGGGATAAAACATTGGATACATTATTTCGATAGGGTTCTAACGGACTATTACTTTTAGCAAGTGGTGGAGACAACATAGAGTTATGGGGTGACATGACTTCTTTAACATTTCTTAAATCACCCATAGCTCTTTGTTGTCTCAACCACTTCCTGAAACCAAGTGACCGTTAGAAATCTATTGGAATAACATATCTAATGCAGTATCCCATTAGAGTTTCAAAGTACGTTTCAGGGGGTGAGTATAATTATCGATACTATAGAGACTTTAAAATTATTTAAGTATAACTTAGGGGTGTGTGTGTAATTTACCCTAAGTTAAATCTTTATCCAAAATGCCGGTAGATACACTCTTATTAAAGAGTCAAATAAACGTTTGAAAATGCTGACATGGCACTACAAAAATGTCCCATTGAAATTATGTATACTAGTAATTGTACGCGTGCGTTGCACGGGTATCATTTCGAAAGGGATTTTTTCTCTTTTTTAATTACATGACAATTTTTTTTTAAGAAGAAATACTAAAATATCTAATTGTGAAATTTAAAATTTTAGTATTACCATCAACATTCTACAAATTTGATAATGCAAATCCATTGACAAAAGAGTTTTTAACGTTAATGTTCTAACTCCTAAAGACTTCATTATGCACATACACAATTTTTGGGATGGTTGAAATTATTGTGTATGGAGATCATGACAATGAAATTTTCGAATTGTACTATAAAATAATGAAGCATTTGATAATTAAAGAACAAATCAATAATCGGGTAAGAAATATAAAAAACATCTTCAAAACAAAAAAAAAAAAAAATGAAAAACAAATCTAAGGACATATAATAAAAAAGAAAGAAAAAGGTATTGCCCATTATCTATATAATAATGATTGTCCAGTATGAAACATACGACATTGCATATTGATATACCTAATTGGACCAACCCAATTAGCCTACTATTTCTTTACGTACTGAGCCATAAGCCCGATCTAGAAGAATACTATTACGAAAGCCCAATTACCGTCAAATAAGGTTTGACCCAACAAATTAGCCACAACCCAATCGACAAGGTATAAATAACGAGAAAATTCATTTACTAAAGGGACGCCCTATTATTTGAGTAATACGATAATTTGTATTCTCTCAACTATTTCCACGATCCGCACGTCTGACTTGAGCGTCGGAGGGGTTTCCGCCGGATCAACCCCCGGCCTAGTTCATGTGTTCTCTCTTCGCAGGTATCTCAGGACCATCTAGCACGTGAGCAGTGATCCACTTTGCTCTCCCAGCTCCCTCGATCTCAACTATTTAAGGTGATCTATTTTTAGCATCATCATAATGGCGCAGTCTGTGGGAAAGCATACCAGATCACGTAGCTTGCAAGATGCTCCTGAGTCATCCACTCGGAGAGAGAATGATACAGCTAACAACCTCCCAATTCATGGAGGCTCTAGCTTGCTACCTCCTCCCCGTGCTTTGGATCCACCTCGCGAGGTTCAGGTGAATCCCCATCGGGATCCACCACTCGCCAATCCTCCACTACCTGCTCCATCGCTCCCTGCTTCCCGAACGGTTCAAATAACCGAAGAGGCCGTGCAACACATGATTGCGGAAGCTTCAGCTCGTGCTGCCACTGAAGCAGTGGCACAATACATCGCCACAACGGGAGTCAACGCTACCCTAGCATCTTCACCCGTGCCACAACATCCTCCACCGCCAGCGGATACCGCATCCCCCTCAAACCCTAGGTCTCGAATGCAACAATCTACTCATCGCCAAGATGCACGAACTGGGCGACAAGACGCACGTTCACCTTCAAGAGGCAACACCTCTCGCCAACGAGCTCCTCCACACAATGGTGGAGATGATGAAATTAACATTCGGATATCTGGCTCAAATCACCTTCCCCACATAGGTAATCCCATTGGTGGAAGGGCAATACCTCCAATAAGGTGCAATCCCTTCACTGTCGCAATAATCAATGAGATACTACCCCAACGGGTAAAGGTCTCGAGTCTACCGCAGTTCGATGGAACTAGTGACCCACAGGAGCACCTTGAAAAGTTCTACGCCATGGCAGATCTATATGGCCCAACTGATGCGGCGATGTGCAAGATGTTTCGCACAACGCTCTCTGAACGAGCATTGAGCTGGTTCAACTCCTTGCCCACTGGGTCAATTGAAGCTCTCTCCCAACTAACGGATCGCTTCACCCACCATTTCTCTATCAACAAAGAGTACGCTAAGACTCCTGCGTACCTCTTCACTATCACCCAAAGAGAGGGCGAGACCCTCCGCAACTATATTCAACGATTTGTAGAGGCCTCTCACAAAGTTCCTAACGTGGGAGGAAACATGCTCGCTGGAATCATTCAACAAAATTTGAAGGAAGGTAGATTCAAGGAATCCATTGCAGGAAGACCTCCAACCAATCTGGAAGAGTTACTAAGACGCGCTGAGAAACACGTGCGCATCGAAGAGGCTTCGGCCCTCCCTCCTCCTAAGAGGAAAAGAGATGAAGATTACTTCAACACCCGGCGACGAGATGGCCGACGACAATCCTCAACATCTCATTGATAATCTCCTTCTGCGTCCTTGTACTTCCAATGATGTCAGTGACTCTTGGAGTCTATCGAACCCATAACATTGTTAGTGATCACATCATCCTAAACTGGGGGGCTATCCTACCGTAAAGATGATGCATCTCCTCACCTCTCGACATAAATTGAACGAAACACCTACATCATCTACTTTGTACAAGTTTATTTATTTCGAGCGATTCGCTCTTTACTTGTTTATTTACCTTCGCCTCAAATAGGCTCGTAAGCTTCACCTCTTCGATCAATGAATAAAGCTAGTTATTTCATTTACTCTCGATGTTATTGTTCTTTCACCACATAATTATTAGCTCAAGTCAACATTAACCCTGGGAACACTTAGAGATATTATGATAATCTACATAGCCTGGCCAGCTTGATTACATAAAATTATCCAACTGTTCTCATTGGGTCCTATATTTAAAACGTGGCCACGGTGCTAACATACTTACGACCCATGAGGTCTAAAAAGGGGCACGATCCCCATAAAAAAAAAATCTTGAGAGATTGATCCCCTCATCAAGTACATCACGCACAATGCTAAATGTAAACACATACAAGCAACGCGTCAAACCAATGACAATGTCATACAAAATAAACGTCAAATGAAATAGTAGTGGGCAAACCCATCTACTCCAAATATGAAGACAAAATGAATAACCTACAATTCTGCACCCGAGGGCCACGTGCCATAAAAAAAAAACAAAAAAAAAAAAAACAGGAGAAGAAGAAGAAGGAAAAAGAAGAAGAAGAAGAAGAAAAAAGAAAAGAAAAGGAAGAAGAAGAAAAAGGAAAAGAAGAAAGAGAAGAAGAGAGAGAGAAAAGCAAAATAAAAAAAATAAAAAAAACCGAACGCGCGTACACCCCGCGCGACGAGAAAAAAAAAAAAAAAAAGAAAACAGGACGCCTAGCCGCGCGTGGTGCCACGCGCCCACTCGCGCGTGTGACCCATGCGCCAGACATTAATGCACCTAGACCCCACCCGCGCGTGCACTGAACGCGCGCATATTTCTCTCTCCGCGCGTGCAGAGCACGCGCCCCACCTCTCTCCTTCCACTATATATATATATATATATATATATATATATATATATATATATATATATATATATATATATATATATATATATATATATATATATATATATATATATATATATATATATATATATATATATATATATATATATATATATATATATATATATATATATATATATTTATTTTAATTTTTTTATTAATTTTTTTTCAATTTTCAAAACAATATGTTTACTGTACTGTAAATATTACATGTAACTATATATAGTACCTATAGTAATTCATAGCTATATTCGTTTTTTTACCCCATATTTTTAGTCGATCAATTGTATACACACGAATACTGGTTTATACAAAAGAAATTCATAAACCCCAACAAAAATTTACAAATTTCAATATTTTTATTATAAATCAATTCTGAACCTATAAAAATACAAATCGAAAATACACAAATATAGGCATTTGTAACTACATCTTACTATATGTATAGTAATGTATAGTAATGTATACAGTCTGTTGAACACTGTAACTTGAAGCAGATGTAACTTCAACCAATTTTTTGACACCTTCAAGGAGATGATCAATGGCTTTCGTTAAGCTGCCATTGCAAAATCAAGACAAAAAAAATTTCTTTAGTCAAATCAACAAAATTTGAAGAAACATCAAAATACTCAAAAATCAACAAACACTGAGAGATCGAGATCGAGAGAGAGAGAGAGAGAGAGAGAGAGAGAGAGAGAGAGAGAGAGAGAGAGAGAGAGAGAGAGAGAGTTTATTGCTGGGAAATGCTACAAATTTTAAATCAAACAGACAGTGTCTCCTCACCCCCCTCGCCTCCTACCAAAACCCTAGCCGCCGCTAATAACCACCCACGGTTCCGCGCGCCCACAAATGCAAGAAAAT